AAACGTCCTTGGTTCTATGTTTATCGCTACATCAAGATACTACTCCAATGTTAAAATATTTAAAAGTACATATTATTTTAATATTTTGGTAAGAAAAAGCGAACAAAAAGTTTGATTTGACTATAGCAAGGATGTATATTTATATTAATGACACTCCATGTCATTAATCTTACTTATATTATAAATGCGAATGTTTGGATAGATGGATGGATGGATGTTTGTTAGAAGGTATCTCCAAAACAGGTATCGATGATATTTGATACTGGTACAAAACATAGTATGGAAAAACACATAGGCTACTTATCGAGTTTTTTTAATTCCGCGCGAACGAAGTCGCGGACTTCAGCTAAATAAGAATGTCATACATAGTTAAACACTAATTAACACACAAAACACAATTATAATGTTACTAGTAATAATACAATTGAAGTTCATTAAAAATATTACAAGTTTTCCCGCTATAAAATTGCAACAAAATGTCATGTCATCGCAAAAAGGTTCAAAGTGCTTCAAATGCATTACATTAGAACTTGCAAGCCAGTTGCATCGTGTGAAAGTCGCGTCCTGCTCACCCCAATTACCGATCGTATTCATAGAATAACCTATGACAATAGTGATGTGCAACACAACTATCGATTGTTCGGTTATTTTAAGAACTGAAAAGTTAATTGTCGAAAACAATATGTAATTCAAAACGATAATCATCTATTGAGATTTATCACAAACGCTCAAGATAACCTAATTTAATAAATATGAATGCAAAAAGAACAATAGTCAATAGACTTCCGTCACATTATTTACCATCTGTCATTTGAATTGCATGGAACGATTCTTTAATGCAATTCTAAAATCATTTGGTCATCAAGTTTCAATTTATCGACAAAACTCAACAAATACAAGAAATTATTACAAACTAATATCTTCTGGGTAAAGGTTGTTATTGTTAAGCAATATTTTTAAATTGTCAAAGTTACAAGTTAGTTCTGCATTAATTTAAATTATTAAAAAATTGTACAATAGATAAGCAATTCAAATGTAAAAGAATTACCATAAATAATGTTCATGTTATCGACAAACATGGCACATCACTGGTCCGCACCTTGACTGCCATCTGCCGAGCGCACGTGAAGTAATTAAGGCTCGGGGGTGGCACCCTCTTGCAACTGGTCGTTTACCTCACAGGGGTTGCACCGGTCAATGTACATTCTAATTGTAATACAAAAAGGCTATCCACTTTAATGGTGAGAAAATTTTCAATGTGAACACAAACAAGAAACAGACCGTAAGTATATTAAATAGAATCAACTCCACTGAACAAACAGGCATCAAATGACTAAGGTACTAGATTACAAAATTGATTGTTTCAGGAAATTACGAAAGAACGAATATACAACACGCCAGGAACAAAATGCCAGACGGACTTCTCGATTTGGTCCTTAATTTAGTGGTATAGAAGGTTATTACTAACCAAATATTAAAAGTAATTTAGTACAATAGAATTTATTAGTAGTATACCGAGCATAGGAAATAAATAAAGGAGTCATTGAATGATCGATATAAATTAGCATCTACCTAAGAGCGCATTAAACGGGCGCTTTTTTATCGCGCGTTTAAAAAGCGTTCAAATAGAACAAATAAACTTCGATGTATCTGTTCATAAGGCAGGTTTTTTAACAGAGACGGTTGTTTGTCGCGCAATATTGCATTATGTGCGCAGGGCGATTGTCTCCCGAAAGTCGTCAAAGCAATTTTTTTCGCGGCGTTAAAAAAGCACCTAAACGCACCTAAAGTAGGATATTAAAAAAAAACTGGTTTATAGGCATATAAAATGTTGTCATTAGATTTATTATATCTTTAGTCATCATTATTTAAATTTAATTACGTAACATCCGCTTAGATCTTAGACTTCATTCATCAAACATTGTTTTACGCCCACGTTGTTTAGGGCTACACACACTAGAGTGATTAATCTGTGAGATTCCACTGCTATAAACTTGTAGAAAAATATGTTGTTTTCTCTGGTTTTTTATTTTTTAAAGTGAATGTAGGCATTATATTTTATGTTGTTTTTGATAATGAAATCTCTCATAAATGTCAACTGTATCTCGTTTCGTGGTGTAATTTTATCCAATACAAACCAATTTTGGTACAATTAATTAATGGCTTTTCACTAATACGTACGTAATAATGTTTAAATTATAAGATAAGTGACATTAAAATTTTACAATACGACTAATTTATGATCAAAGTCCCGGACATTTACTTTATAAGATCATCTTTTAGGTGTCTCATGAATGTATTTTGTACTTCACAATGTAGGTACTTTAGTGGGACCTTGTAGTCGAACCAAGGTCTCCGAGAGCACGCAATATCCTGTGAGTTCAAGGTTATTTGACAGAGGCCAAGAATTTACTGGTAAATCATATGGTACTCGGCATTGTGTAAAAAGTGTCTTTTACACTCGCCTAATACTCAGAATTATTAAAAATAAGGCACCAAACACTTCTGTCTAACCTATCCATTTATACATCCGACAGAAAAACATAGAATGCTAGTATTAGCGATTTAGTTTACTTGTCGCTATGTTATTCGTATAAACATTTAAATCAACTCTTGAAAAATAAATTGAAGAATGGAATAATTTTTATCACTAAAAGCGTTCTCGTTTTCCTGTTATGCAAATTGATTCATTAAATTAAATAACCTATTTTTTCCAAGATGAAATTTAAAGTAAAAAGAACGTCTAAATGTCTTTCTGCCGCACTTTGAATCTTAATGATGACCTAAACAGTCGCTTAGTGTTGATTATGCATTAATTTAATTAGGTGTTAATTTTTAACCAGATGGTACCAAGTAGTTTTTGAGTAATAAGTATTTTGTAGAAGTATATATCATTTCTTCGAATCTCTGGTAGGGGTGAGGTCTCCGGGCCAATTCCTACCCCCTCTTGGCCACGCCCTGGTATGGTGTGTTTGCATCAGCAGATATTTCGGGTTTTATCTGGGTTTCCCTCACCAAAAAACTTGTATTAAACCATAATCATGTCTCACGTTTTTTCAAGGAGAATGAGATAGAGGGCAATATTATCTTAGGAAAGTTTCAGCAGTGTTGAGGGACTTGAATTATCTAAACAACTGACATTTGACATCTAAACAAGTCAACCACGTGTTTTATAATACATTCATCTACTTATCTTATTTTTTTGCAAAGAGGTTCAAGCTACGAGTCTTTGTAACGCAACCCTGTGGCCCCTTTTACGTTGTGGCCCCTCAAAGTATGCTTATGGACTTGCTACAACGAAATTGCAGATATGTAGTACTTATAACCTTTCATGTACCTAACCTATTAGGTATTTTGTACCTTATTATAGTATTTCTAATGTGTAACATAATTAAGATTAAAGCTCAATATGTAGTTTATAAAAGTCTTTATATGTGGGGGGTACTCGTAACTGTTGTGGGTACTTTTGATGTATTTACTATCTTTACTTTCAGATTCTAATAATTACTTCAAAATAATTTAAAACAAAAAATACATACTTCCGTCTCTTGCTGGCTTTCGATGTGTTTTCAATAGGGAAATTGAAGGATTCGCCAAAAATCCGATATTGCAAGTCGTCTTCTTCATTGCTTTGAAATTGCATTTCTTACACACTTTATTACTATCAGTTGTTACTAAAAGCACTTTTATCATTTGACCTTGGAATCATCGTCACATTACTAAACAATAACACTTCTAATAGTAACGTGCGAAAACATTATAAATTTATTATTACCGACAAATTATAATTGTTTATTTAACGCGGACGCGACGAATCACGACTGCTATGGCGCGCGACGCCCTACCCGACTGACGAAAACGCGGGCGAAGCAAGGCTGGCAGCGCGGGAAGCGGGAACCGGCATGTTTATCACTCTATCCCTTTCTCGCTTTAAACAAACTATGAATTATAAACAATATCTTTTACCTTTTTTTTAATCAAGATTCAAACTCCTTAAAAATGTATTGCTAACTTATTAGTACTTGCATTTACAAAATGTAGATAATAAAAACCTCGCCCCTTCTAAAATTTCACTGTATTAGATCTAATTTAAATATGAGGCACAATTTTCGTTTTAAAACAAAGCAATAAATTCGAGATCCGGAAACTTTTACGTATTGTATTGTCGATAAAAATTTAAGATATATAGATATATCCGGTTTTTCGAGTCACTATTGAGCAGAAATCAAGTAATTTTTATAATGACATCAGCAGACTCGGCAGGCGAGGCGGCATGCACCGGAAAGACCACTTCCAGGTTTCAGATAAGGATATGTCATATTTTTTTAAGTTCACGATCATGCTATTTTTATTTACACCACAGGACGAATTATTCTAACACATTGCAATGACTACAGTAAACAATAAAAACTGAAAATTTACATATGGCAATATTGATTGACAACCCTTTTGCCCTGAAAACGAATAAAGTCAAACTTCAAATGATTAACAAATCTGTTTATTAGTACACAAGTACTTTGACACTTTGATCCTTTGAGATGATAAACTTTCAGACCTAACTCAAATACATTGTTACTCCAAGGAAGGTGCGTACTAAATATAAATCGAAAATAAGACGACCTCTACGACCCGGAAGGTAGATAACATATTTTCTACGTAACCAATGTTAGATAAAACTTCTCAATGAAAACAGGATGTTCATGTTTACGAATTTTTAGAACAATCGCATGTTTTGTCAGGACTGTTGTTTCCGATTGCCGTTGCACTTATATTGAGAAATATGGTTGTCTCTGTTAATTTCAAAGTGAAGGTAAGGGTGTCAAAACATGTATCACAGTCAAAATTCGAAACCCACATTAAAATGAATGCTTTATAAACAAAATCCTTAAGTTACTAAACATGTTTTCTCTCATGTTGTTCTCTCTGACAAAACAGAGATAGCGATATTTTTTTAATTGAAACGCACTGAGAACTACAAAAATATATATCTAAATACTTACTCTTCTTTAACGATGACGTAATCTTCTTCGGCCTCAGTTGAAAGCTTTGCTTGCAACGCCTTTAGCCTTTCCTTTTGGAATTGAAGATATGATTTCGTTTTGTCTTCCTCCACACTGGAATAAGCGAAATATTTAATCTATGGTTGTCAGATAGTACTATCAAATTAAAAAGGTGATAGGGCCAGTAGAACTACAGTAAAATAATATATATTTGTAATCCAAGTCTCTTGAAAAATTTTATAATTAATAAAATACAGTCTAACCCGAATACGCGACAACTCGATACGCGAGAAAACTATAAGAAAATGACATTGTCCGGTCTCGACGGACGACCTCCAAAAGCGAGAA